ATATATATAGTGCCAAGTCGCAACAGAAGCCATCTCAGGACACTGAATAAAAACATTCATATACATAAAAAGTAAGTTCACATAAATCTGAGCGTAATCATCTTTTCAAGTTTTAAATGAAATTACTCTAACTCAATTATTTCTCCACTTATGATGATCTTAGTCTGAATCTATGTCAGAAAAGGTAATCGGGAACATAATCTCTTTAATTCAATTCATCCATCTATCTATCCATCATCTTTTACCCGCTTCTTCCTTTTAGGGTCGCGGGGGGTCACTGGTGCCCATATCCAGCCATCACTGTGCGAGAGGCGGGGCACACCTTGGACAAGTCTCCAGTCCATCACAGGGACACATCGAGACAAACGAGACAAACAACCATTCACTCTCTCACTCTCTCACTCACACCTAGGGACAATTTAGAGTTACCAATCAGAATAACATGCATGTTTTTGTTCTGTGGGAAGAAACTGGAGTACCTGGAGAAAACGCATACATGCACGGAGAGAACATGCAAACTCCACCCAGAAATGCCCCTGGACTGGGATTTGAACCAGGGACCTGCTCACTGAGAGGCAGCAGCTCTACCAGTTGTGCTGCTCGAATTCAATTCAATTCAGTTTATTTCTATAGCGCCAAGTCACAACAGAAGTCATCTCAGGGCACTGAACAGAAATATTCACTTACATTATAAATGCCATTTAGTAAAGTTATCTATCTAAGGAAAGAATGGTAGACCTTTAATTCTGTGCAGTTTTACAGTCTTTGGTCCGGACTGTCCAATGCTCCTTTGTGGTCTACCAGAGAACTGCTCGATGTTAGACAGCTGGTCATTGTGCAGAATGCAGGACCTTCTTCTTCTCACTGGTGACAGACGGTATTGGTTCAGTAGAGCATGATGGCAGTAGACACATCCTGATGAACTCAGTGCTTGATTCCTGAAACTATAGTTAATGGAAATAACTCCTAAATTTTAGATAATCGTACAAATGGTGAAAAAGGAAAGTAAAACTTGTTTTTTTGTGCAAGGCTAACTGTTTGCTTGTGTTGTCTGTAATACTGTAGGTGTGCTGTCTGTTTCTGTTCATCGCCATGGGCATCTTCACCTTCTCTGCCTTGATGCATTCTGTGGAGGTGGACCAGCCTGGGACACCATTCAGCAGCATACCAGATGCCTGGTGGTGGGCTGCGGTGAGTCAGGGACAAACAAGCAAACTTTGTAGCTATGAACAAAAGTGTTTATTGTTATTAGCTAATAATAAAAAACTGCAGAACTTGCCATCTGTACTGTGTGAAGACCGATCAGTTGTCACAGTACTGGTTTCCTGTTTACATGTTTATGTTTCTGTACGTTTTTTGTAATCTAATTACTTCTGCATACTTTGTGCTATGTTAGACATTAAAACATTCAGCTCATTCAGAAGATGGATGCTCTGATGTTTGTCTTTTTGTAACTTACATATTTAATTTGCTAGAGTTAACTCCATCCATCCATTTTCTTCCGCTTATCCGGGGTCGGGTCGCGGGGGTAGCAGCTTAAGTAGGGAGGCCTAGACTTCCCTCTCCCCAGCCACTTGGTCCAGCTCCTCCGGGGGAATCCCGAGGCGTTCCCAGGCCAGCCGAGAAACATAGTCCCTCCAGCGTGTCCTGGGTCTTCCTCTGGGCCTCCTCCCGGTGGGACATGTCCGGAACACCTCACCAGGGAGGCGTCAAAAAGGCATTCTAAACAGATGCCCGAGCCACCTCAACTGGCTCCTCTCGACGTGGAGAAGCAGCGGCTCTACTTTGAGTCTCTCCCGGATGATCGAGCTTCTCACCCTGTCTCTAAGGGAGAGCCCAGACACCCTGCAGAGAAAACTAATTTCGGCCGCTTGTATCCGAGATCTCGTTCTTTCGGTCACAACCCAAAGCTCATGACCATAGATGAGGGTGGGAACGTAGATCAATCGGTACATTGAGAGCTTTGCCTTTTGACTCAGCTCTCTCTTCACCACGACAGACCTGTACAGTGCCCGCTTCACTGCAGATGCTGCACCTATCTGCCTATCGATCTCACGCTCCATTTTTTCCTCATTCGTGAACAAGACCCCAAGATACTTGAACTCCTCCACTTGGGGCAGGACCTCCTCCCTGACCCGGAGAGGGCACTCTACCCTTTTCCGGCTCAAGACCATGGCCTCGGATTTGGAGGAACTGATCTTCATCCCGGCCGCGTTGCATTCGGCTGCGAACCGCTCCAGCGAAAGCTGTAGATCACGACCTGATGAAGCCAGTAGGACCACATCATCTGCAAAAAGCAGAGACGCAATCCTAAGGCCACCAAAACAGATCCCCTCAACACCTTGGCTGCGCCTAGAAATTCTGTCCATAAAAGTTATGAACAGAATCGGTGACAAAGTTCAACCTTGGCGGAGTCCAACTCTCACCGGGAACAAGCCCGACTTACTGCCGGCGATGCGGACCAGGCTCTGACACCGGACATCCAGGGACCTAACAGCCTGTATCAAAGGGCCCGGTACCCCATACTCCCAGAGTACCCCCCACAGGGTTCCCCGAGGGACGCGGTCGAACGCCTTCTCCAAGTCCACAAAGCACATGTAGACTGGTTGGGCAAACTCCCACGCACCCTCCAGGACCCTGCTGAGGGTGTAGAGCTGGTCCAGGGTTAACTCCTTTTAATCTTATTGCACTTTTAAAAAATCAGCTTCAGCATACAATCTTTATTTTTCTCTTTTATTACTTTAAATTTTAAGCTTGCATTTTGATGCTTTTAGGTATTGTTCTGCTACTTTCACATTGCTTTTAGATACTTTTAACTTTTAACCATACTTTTATCATGTGTCTATCCTTTTGTTATATTAGCGTTTGGCAAGTCTTTTGTTACATTTAGCTCAACTTTTGATTCTTGTGGATAGCTTTTTACTGCGTTTTGCTTTTAGCTTTTAGGTAGTTTTCTGCTTCCTTTAGCTTTAACAACTCAGTTTCAACTTCTTCAGCACATTCCTGCAAAATGATTCAAAACTCATTATTAATATTGCATTTTCACACACAAAAAAAATGCAATTTCTCTGGTTATTTTTAATTTGACACCCAACTAAACGTATAATCTAATCCACATTCACTCAAAATCTTACGTTAAGCTGCAGCTTTTCCTAATCGGTGGCTTCAGTGGTGCTTTACAGCATTCAGAGTAGATAACCAGTTGGCAACGAGTTGGCAGCACAACAGCTCCGTGGTTGGCACTGTTGCCTCACAGCAAGAAGGTCCTGGGTAAGGACAATCAAGAACAACACGTTTGCTGACTGTTTTTTCCTCCTGTTGTAAGTTTTAATTGACTGTCTTTAAGTGTTTATTGTAAATGTTCCTGGGAGGCTGTGTTTTCTAACTGTCTCAGCCAGCTTCTCCTCATGGGAGCATTTCAAGTAAAATAACTTTATAGTTATTGCCTAAACACACTCACAACATTCTGATCACTCACATAATACTTGTTAATATTTGTTAATACTTGTTAATACTTGTTAATATTTGTTAATACTTGTTAATATTTATTAATACTTGTTCATACTTGTTAATATTTGTTAATATTTGTTAATACTTGCTAATACTTGTTCATATTTATTAGTACTTGTTAATATTTGTTAATACTTGCTAATACTTGTTCATATTTATTAGTACTTGTTAATATTTGTTAATACTTGTTCATATTTA